GCTTGATGGATGATCTCCTTGTCCTGATGGAGGTATTATTAATAATAGTTGCAGGATAAACAGATGTCTGTGTCCGACAGTCTTTCTGAATCCAAATTGTTTATTCGAGAGGATATTATTTTTTTCTAGATATGAAACTAGTCTTGTGTTTAAAATACTATTAAATAATTAAATAACTAAATAACTATAAATAACTATAAATAACTCTAGATCTCGCGCGCTATAATAAATACGACGCATGCGTTCTCGCGCGCAGCTGTATTGCGCATGCGTTAGGGGACAAAATCTCGGCAAAATAAAATTTCTCGGCACGACTAAAAAAAAACTTCTCGGCTTATGATCAGTGTGACTGCGCGTGCGCCGTCAACAGCGTGCTAGCATATTTTTTTTTCGGCATAGCTGAAAAATAAAATCTCGGCAATTGGTCAGAATGAATACGTTTATATTACGGGAATTTGTTTGAAAATAAACTCGGCTCGGCCGATACGGAAGAGTAAAATCTCGGCATACAAAAATAAAATCTCGTCACAATCACATTAGTGAAATAATATTCTCGGCGATGGATCTTTCTCCGAAAAAGAAATTCCGGCTTTTATTTTCTGCTACCGGGAACAAATTAATTTTTATCGGATGTTGAAAAAAACGAAGTTTTCTCGACAAATGGTGACTGTCGTTAGTTTTGCTTTATATGTGTCCTTTCAATTGAATAAAAATATTTATCGGGGGTCCCCTACGGCTTTCCATAATCTTGTCATTATCCGAAGAATCCTACTCCACAAGTACGCAAACTTGGTTGTAAAGTAAAAAAAATCATTGCAGATAATAATAATTTAAATAGTTATATCAGACAACGAGAAAAGTCTGATAAAGATCTATTGAATAAAAAAACTTAATGTCTTACTTAAAGAAAGGTACACAGAACAGTGGAAATGTGAACTATTTAATGACGTAAGAAATTAGAATAAATGGTGAGACAAATTAATTTAGCCACATACAGAAAATTTAAAATTGAATTTAAAATAGAAAATTATTTAACAGAGATCAACAATATTAAACTGGGACAACTTTTATGCAAATTCGGTATCTCAGATCATAAGTTGCTAATGGAGACTGGCAGACATAGGCGGATACCAAGGGCAGAACGTAAATGCAAAACCTGTAATGTAATTGAGAGTGAATATCATTTCATGATGGAATGTAGTAATTATATTGAATGTCGTAAAAGACTTATATTACAGAGTAAAAACAAAATTGAATAATTCGACACATTGCCCTCTGAAGTTCAATTTATTGAAATTATGAAGAAGTGCTCTATCAATGTTGCACAATTTATCCAGTCAGGTATGAAAATCAGAGATGAATTATACATGTAACAGCGCCACCAAGCTAAGTAGTATTAGTGCTTTATAGTAGCTATTATTCGTCCTTTAAGTAATATATTTTTGTGTATACGTTTCTAGTTTACTCTTGCTCTTATTTGTTCTTATTTTTTTCATTTGTTTATACAACCATTAAAAACAACTGATGTAGTATATTGTTAAATTCCGAACGACACTTCAAATTTATAGTTGTGTGACTCTTGTATCGTTCGAGAAAGCAACTGAACTGGAACCTCCTGTTATGTGATTTGGGTGTTTGTCCTAAATGTAATTATTTTTTATTTTAATTTAATGAGACAGTTGCGTGAAAACAAACCATAGCTAACTCCCTTTGACAGAGCTGAAAAACGAGGAGAATATTAATGATTAATTCCAAAAACAACGATACCAAAACCACGTCGGTACAACAGTAAAATTTGACAACGCTATTTGAAAATATACACCGCACACTGTACTGGTGGCAATGTTTACCTTAAAACACAATTAGGCAGTTTGATTAAATATTCGCGCAGCTCGGTCATTGCTTGTGTAACCAGGTATTTAGTACGTCCTTGCCCCGATTGAAACACTGCACTGGTACAACCCTTGCTTCTGAGCAAGAGTTCCTAAGAATAACTATGACGTCATTGGCCAAAGGTCATCAAAGGCTCTTGGGCGTATTGAATTTCCTACAATGGCCGGTTCTAGTACGTCTGCATTTCTCTCCCAGATAAACGACGAATTTCTGAAATGTCCAGTTTGTTTCGATCACTGCGAGAAACCCAAAGTGTTACCATGTCTACACTCATTCTGTATGAAATGCCTGGAAAAACTGGTGAAAGACGGGAGTAAGACTGTCGAGTGTCCAAAATGCAGACAAGAAGAGATACTTCCGGAAAACGGAATTCATGGTCTGCAAGATAATTTTTTCATATCCGATCTAGCCGAATCCATGTCAACTTGGAAGAGTGTGGAGGATGAGAACAACCAGCCAGTCTGTTCTGGGTGTTGTTCCAGAGACGCCGCAAATTCTCGGTGTTTAACATGCCTGGATTTTCTATGTGACAACTGTGTGGCACTTCATAAACAACTCCGAGTGTTCCGTAATCATATGGTTGTGACATTGGAACAGATCCGTGCTGGTGAGCATGTTGATTCGCTGCGAGTTAAGCTGGAACCCCTCAAGTGCGAGCTACATGAGGGAGAAATATTACGCTTCTACTGTTCCAAGTGTGAGGTGCCAATCTGCCGTGATTGTACTGTCCTGGATCACCCGAAACCAGACCACCCATTCATCAATCTCAAGGACGCTGTTGAAAAGCATCGTAGTGATCTCAAAGCATTACTAGGGTCAACAAGTACGAAAGTGAAAGCATTCGATGAAGCTTTGGTGAAAGTAGAGAAGGCTGTCAACCATCTTGCTGAAAATCGTCAGAAAAGCAAGGAGGATATTGAAAGAATAGCAGCTGAAATCAAAGAGAAAATAGACAATAACCAAGCCGAATTGCTACGCCAACTCGAAGACAGTGCCAACATTAAAGACAAACAATTACAAGCAATCGGCGACCATCTTCAGATGGAATTGTGTAAAATGAACAGTGCATGTGAGTTAGCCGAGAATATATTGGAAGTCGGTACTGAGTGGGAAGTAGTGTCATTACACAAGCAACTTGCAAGTCGGATGCAAGAATTGGAAAGGACTCCCCTAGCTGATCAAGACAACGAGCTAAAAGTTTTAGGGCACGTGGCTTTAGTACATAACGTCATTAGCGCATCTGAAAATATGATTGGAAAAATAGATGTGGATAACCTTTTTACTACTATTTCCTGAAGAAAATCGAATATTCTTAATGTATTTTACACGACATAATGTGTATGAGACAACATTCTTTATATTTTAATCATTTCTGTTTTTTCCATTGTTTTTTTTTTTTCATCCACACTTTTCCTAAAATCTTAGTATTATAATTATTATTACATTTCATTAGACAAATTCAAAATAGTTTCATTCTGTCAGTATATATTAATTTATCTTTAATTGCTCATTATCTCGGTATTGTCTACATTAGGCCAAACAAAAATGTTTTGTTGCCCTCAGCGACCGACCGAAAAATATGAAATATCGCGTCGCGTATTTTTTTTTAATAGGCCCAAATATTAGAAACTCACCATTTTAAGCAGTAAAAAATGGTCTCCTCTAAAAATTAAGGATTCCGGACTGTTGTTTGATCCCCAGAGTCCACGTAAGTGGCGGCTTTGAACCTCGGGATGAACTGTATTTCTCTGACATGTTCCGAATACTATGAAGCCCATATACCTTGGCTATTTACGATACTCTTCGACCGACCCAATTTTAAAATTTTTGACTTAAGGGCAACATAATTTTTTTGTTGGCCTTACCGAGCGGTGTATCGGGATTAATGAATCAATTTACTCGTGACGGTTCGCCAAATGGCGACAATAATATTATTCAGGCAAACGGTTGTTAAAGTTGTCAAACAAATAATAATATAACCAACCCAATATTGTTTGGGTTCTGCAACCATAGTAGCCCTGAGACCTACGTGCGTTGTCATGGTGACGATGTTCACCTTAAAACACAATTAGGCAGTTTTATTAAATATTCGCGCAGCTCGGTTATTGCTTGTGTAACCAGGTACTGAGTACGTTCTTTACCCCGATTGAAACACTGGTACAACCCTTGCTTCTGCGCGAGAGTTTCTAAGAATAACTATGACGTCATTGTCTGGACGTACATTTTTATGTATTGTATTTTGCTATAGACAGTATCGTTCCTTTACTGGAATTTTTATTTTTTAAAAACTTTCACATTTGAGTGTGTTTTATTTGAAATCTGTCAGCTGTACTTTGAGGGAGGGATTGTCTTTCCCGCGTTACGGGAACGTGATTGAGTGGGCATGCGCAGAAGGAAGAGATCGACATGCTTGGGACTGTTACATGGTTTTGGACGGTGCTCAGAAAGTTACGATGAATTTGCTTTTAATCGCGAGTCATTGACAGAACAGTTCTGCTATTTGTTGGTAAAGGCACAGGGAGACTTTCCGGGCATTTTGGGTCTTTGATGACGAAGAGCTGACTGCGATAGCCACGAATTCCCAGTTGAGGTGAACGCTTCAAATTTGAAACCAACGAAGCGTCGTCTGCCATATGTGACGTTATTTGACTTAGTATACGCACAGAGAGCTAGCCCTGGAACTATAATCAACTGTAGTACGCAGTCTCTATGAGCGGGAAGGGGGGGGGTGGTGGTACGGCTGGTATCCAGTGTAAGAAATAGACAAGGGATGAAGGCTCCCGTGAGCCAATATTTTTTAAACTGGAAAAAAACATACGAAAAAATGAAAACTAAAATCTAAAAAAAATACCGGCTTGAAGAATATTAGTTGCTCTTTCAAATTTAACCAAAGCTTTATCTATATTTTACCTATATCTGCATAATAAATCAAGAAAACTACACAAATTGACTCCATTTACGAATATTCTAATGGTCAAAGGAATGCTCGGCACAGTTGGAGGCGTGGCCAGTTGAGCGAGAGAGATTTTTGGTTGAAAGAACAAAACAACAAACATGTGTTTGACGGCCACCTTGGTAACTCAGTTCAAGCATTTTTTACCTCCATGGTTCAAGTGTGTGCGCAATCTAGTGTTGTAATTTGAGTAAAGCATAAAGTGTATTTTGACTGATATGTTACTCAATATTAAACCTGTTGATTTATACACTCTGCTTGTCTTCACTGTGTTGTATGCCTTGCATGCATATGGTAACGATGTCATCTGTGACGGTGGACCTGTTAGGCCTAGGATTATTATTTGTGCTCCTTCCATTTATAGTCTTTTAGCTGGGAATTGGGAAGCTTACACTGGCATACGCATGTGTATTGAGTACATACTTTCTTACACGTCAACCTCATTTTTAGCCCCACTGTACTGTCTTTGTAGATGACAGAAAGGAGCTTTTCATATAGGTAATTGTCCGTTGCTGCCTGTCAACAATTGCATCTTGACAACTACCAGCTCAATTGCTTTGTAGGGCTCATAAGTTGATACCGGATCACCGCGTCTCCGATCCAGAGGCAAAAACAACATTACTGTCAGATGTAATTCATCTGCCACCAAACAGAAATGAAATACAATCAATGCCAAACTGGTTAATGAATGCTACTTACTTGTTATTTTATACAAAGATCCATCATCAAAAAAATGCGTTGTCAATAAGTTGTATGAGGTCCAGTTCATGCAAAAGTAGCTGCTGTACGCCACCATGTTTTGAGTCATGTGTCATGAATTTGTTTTCGCGTATCTGTTGACCGACTTAATTAGCTGATTATTAGCGAATTGCTGTGTTATGTCTGTCATCGTTTAGGCCTATTTGAAGTTTTGGACGAAACTTGGCTCAGTAATTTGGAACTAATTACAGATAATCGTCGCTATTCAGACTACTCATTCTGACAGTTGGTATCCGTAGTTATTAATGTAGTGAACGATTAATCAAAGTATTCAGTACTTAGTGTGATTGGCTTTATGATTGAAGGTTACGCCTTAGATTCTTTTTACTGCTTTGTAATTGGTTAGAGTTTTGAAAATGAATAAAGAGAGTTTGAGTTGGTCTTGGGGAGTACACCAGAACAGACGCAGTCCTGGAGAGACTTAGGGCGAGCCTTGACGCAGTCTAAAAGAGTCTTGGGTCAGCCTTGTGATAGTCTTGGGGATTTTTCCCCAGGGAGCTGTGTCTTATAGAGTACTCGACTGTCCGACTAAGACGAGAGTTGAAACGTATTTCGTTGTGTGTGTCTTATTTGACTGTAAAGTATAAGTGTGACTTTCCCGATCCCGCACCTCAAGGGGACGCGATATAGAGACGAGACGAGATTTCCCCCTGACACGTGTGGAGAACCCCGTGGAGAGGATTTACCCCCTGATACATGCTCAGACGCATTTGTAACCCGTGATCTGAGGCTGGTCCCTGGACGAGATTTGCACAGGCAAGATTAACGGCAAGAAAAAACAAAAAATCGACATATTCAAACTAAAATAAAAATAAATTTTATATAAAGGTTCATAAAAAAAAAAAATAATAAAAAAAAATTTAAACCTCATACCTACATCGAATTTTAATCAGATTGATGTCCACGGCAATTTGTTTTACAATGAGATCAAAGATGGCCAACTGTACTGTACTATTACAACAAAAAGGCTTAGGGACCATTTTCATTCATATTTGGCACATACAACATCAATATATATGGTCATGGTCATATGGTCATGTCGGTTTGTTCCATAATCAGATCAAATATGGCCAACTGGCATCTATCTTGTTCTTCAGTGGGATTTGTCGGTTTTTGTTCAAATTTGATACAAACTTTATATATGTTGAGATGATTTGTTTCAGCCGTCTTTTTTTCAAAATGTATCATTGACATGTTTTTTTTTCTCTTCAAATTATACATGTTAGGATATATGTCTATGACAATTAGTTTCAGTATCGGGTCAAATATGGTGATTGGCAGGGATTTGTTCGTAAATCTTCACTAGAATAACACACATTAGAAGACCACTAAAAATGTGCACACATATATTTATTTGTCAAGTTTGCAATAAAATGTCCAGCCACACTTAGGAATAATAGATTGAGAAAGAAAATCAAAAACATTTCAATTCAACAGAATCAAATGTGAAAGAGGCTAATAAATAAGTATAAATATAGATGCAATCAGCAATGTTGGACTTGAATTATCCACCATAGACTCCGGTTAGTCAAAATGACTATTTTAAACTGTATGCATTAATCTGCGATTCAGCCAATGACGGAGAGAGAAATCTAGGTCAGGGGAAGCTCCATGACCTCATCGATTTTCTTCCATGTCGTTCAACACGTGACGAAGTTAAAGAAGACAGCGTCATCTTGCCTTATATTCTCTCTCCTGTTTCTCCGCACCAAGTGTGCATCGCAGAAAAACAGGGCGATTCAGACATCATTATTTTAGCTCCGCTGTCGACTTTGTCGAGCGGAGCTTATCATATGAGTGATTGTCCGTCGTCGTCCGGCGTCCGTGTTAATGTTTTACTTTTTCGACTTCTTCTCAAAAACTACAAGCCTGAATGTTTTCATACTTGGTGTATGTGTACCTTGGGTAGACCTCTCTCAGATTTGTTCATTTCATGATGATATCTTCAATTCTCTAATTTTGGTGAATATTTTTGTCATTTTTGGTAAGAAGTGATATTTTCGACTTCTTGTTAAAAAGCGCAAGTCCAATTGCTTCGATATTACATATATAGGTACTACATGTGGACCTCTCTCAGA